ACCTTCTCTTTTAAAATATTATTTTTATAAATTAAATTTTAACATTTTAAATAAATTATTAATTAACTTAATATATTTATTCATCTTAAATCTAAGATATAAAATTTAAAAAATGTATTTATCCTTATTTTATTTTCTAATTATAAACCATTAATAAAATACTAATTTAAAATCTTATCTAATTATATCATAATATTTTCTTATCAAATATAAAACTAAATATTAGTTATACAAAAATATCAAGATCATATAGTAAATTTCAATAAGATTCTACTTAAATAATTTAAAATAATTAGTTTTTCAACTATATATTGTTTGCAAATAATTTATTGCAAAGCTAATCAATTTTTTCTATATTAATTATTAGTAAAATTTAATAACTTTTGATTTAATAATTGAATCGATGAAATTTAATAACTTTTAATTTATATTACCGACGGATATATCCGTCGGAAATATAAATTTTTCGACGGATTTTTTTGTGGCAATGCTACTATGTGTAGCTTATATAGATATACTCAACTGGTAATAGGACACACAATTACTGTGTACATATATATATGTCATATTTTTCCCCTTAATCCTATATATTTTATTGTATAATTCTGTTACTAGTAATAATTCGGTTAAGTGTAACGATCATGATAGGTCGTTACAATTTGCCTCCAATAATTCCTTCCAATATTTATATATTATATTAAATTTAATGAAAGAATTTAGATTAAAATATTTAATAATTATTAATCATTAATATATATATATATAAAATAAACAAATATATCAAAAAATAATATTTCAGTAATATTATTATCAATGAAATAACATAATAATTCAATATCTCTCATTTAAATTTTAGCATGACTAGTTAACAATAACCATTTAACGATTTTATATTAAAATTAAAAAGAAAAAAAATACTACCGAAATCGTAATAATCACTTAATAATTTTGTAAATATCATAATAATTAATATCAATCAAATAACACAATAATTATACGTAATAATATTTCAATATCTCCCATTTTAATTTGAGAAGTGGTCAACTGACCAAAATTAATTAATGGTTTTATATCAAAATTAAAGAAACAAAATTGCTACCAATTATAATTTTAATAATTGTACAAATATTACAATAGGTAATATGAATATCTTTATTAAAATAAATAAATATTAACTATTTTCTATCAAAATTAAAGGGAAAAAAACTTTGAATAAATTAATGGTTCTAAATTTATTACATTGACTAATATTTTTATTATTATATTTATTATGAATTTAAAACAATAATTTTGGTTTATATACATTGGTAATTACTAATGAAATCGAGACACTTTATATATCTATATTTTATTTAATAAAAATGATTAAATGTTAATAATATTTGTTAGATTAAATGATATTGGGTTTTGTCTCAAATTTTAAGATCTTGAGTTTAAGTCTTATGTTTGTAAGATTATTTAATTTTTAATATTATTTTTTATCATTTAAATACGATATAGTAACATAATATTTATCAATATAAATCACTTTTATCTATAATATAGATAGAATATATGTTGATATATTATTAAAAAGTGTAGGTATAGACTATAATAACATATAATATATGTTGTTGAATCTCGTTCAAAATTAATACTAAAATTATATATAATTATAAGTTAAATAAATTTATACTTATAAATATTGTGTCTATAGTGACGATATTTTTTTGTAATTCATTGTATATAATATTTCTTGTAATATTCTTAGCTCTTAAACTCCCCAATTTTCATTTATGTAGTAATATTTTTATTGAAATTGGTACATAAACTTTTATATAGAATAATAAGTTGACCTCTCATAAAAATTTAATATAATAAATATAAAGGATAAAGTTGATAAATTATAATTTTGTTATATGAATCTAATAAAATTAATTAACATAATTATTTATACTGTTCCATATAAGGATATGCATATTTATTATTAGAGAGTGGGCCAGTTTTCCCCACTATTTTTTTTTTGTCATTTATAAATACAGTATATTAGTAATTATGTATAAATAATTTGAAATTGGTAAAAATAACAATTTATATTATAAACACTTCCTTGAATTTGATTATTTTTATTACCTTAATTAATATATTATAATATTATTTTTTAATATGAATTTTATACATTATTTTTGTAATTAAAAAATTCTCTCTCGGTTATATCAAATTACATTATTTTTATCTTTATGAAAATAAATAAACTATTTAATTGTCTAACTTACCTGTTTAATATATATATATATATATATATATATATATATATATATTAATTGAATTTTTTTTTTAATAAACCACGATGATTGTGATTCATAAAAATAAACATCTCAAGAATAGGTTGAATTAAATAATTTTTCCCATAAATGTTGTTTGAATAAAAAAACTATTCATTGTCAAATATTTTCTCTTTACTTTTCCTTTGTCTTTCAACCATATATACACAGTTGAAAGTTAACTCTTGTCTCATATAATACTATTCAAATTCCACTCGCCAATTATTTGACCTTTTCGTTTCATCTTTAACTTAATTAGGGTAGTAGTTTAGGTCAAGTAAAGTGATATATGGTACGATAATGTTTGAAACCCGCAACTCCCTCCTTGAGTATTCTGGGGTTTTTGAGCAGTGTTCTGCCCTAGGAATCTCTCTGGGAG